TGTATGATTCTTTTAATCTGGAAAAAGTAAGAATGCAGCAGAGTGATGGACAGATTTAGGCTTTCCTTGAGGGTAATGGAAAGTCATTCTCCCTTGTGAGGAGAGTTGGAACCAGCTGCCAGCAAGAGAAAGCCTCCTGGGTGACTCAGTCCCCAAAGCTGAGACCATGCCCAAGGCTTTCCAGTGACTCGCGAGATAGTCAATGTTCTTCTCCAAGCAGAGGAAAGGAAGGGAGGGAATCAATGAAACTGTCTTTATTGAGAGTTAGACATTAAAGGAAGAAAATGCAAGCTTTGTATAAAAGAAGAAAACACCAGCTTTGTACCTTAGATTTTATATTCTTTTGAGCCAGGCTCTAATTTGCATAACACTCTGTTTATAAGTAAGAACAAGAAGGTTTTCAGTGTGTTTTATTATTCTAATAAAGTACAATTTTAATGGAAAAATATTATTAAATTGATCTTGTGCTGTTACTTGGTCTCTCGGTATTATTCATGTCTAATTACATGCCATCTTCCCCTGAGAAGAAGTAACTGAACTATAATAACTAGGTTGGGACATGGCTGTCAAAAATGAAGCATGCCTGCTGCGATTTCCACGTCACACATCCATGGCACACAGTGGCAACACAATGGCAGCTGATTTGAGCACTTTCAGTGTTGCTTCTGGGCAGCCACCGCCAATCAATCAGTCTCAATCAATCAGTCAATCCATCAGTCAGTCATGTTGACCTCTAAGATGAAACTTTTGCCCTCCATCATTTAAGAGGACGGAATCAGCATAGAAAGGGCTGGTCCTCCAGATGCAAACTTGTAAAATGGGTATTTGCCAGTGCTTTATAGAATGTTGGGAACTTTAATCTTTTCTCTCCTCAGCCTTGGTGCTTAAGCCCATTCATTTTTACCCTTGCAAACTTCTGTTCCAGTGTGTTTTTCTTGAAAGCAAGTCACCAGTAATAAACACATAGAAGTTTAAATATTGCTACACCAGATTTTTTCAGATTAGGAGAAGGGCACCAGATTGTGCCCTGTCCCTCCATCAGTATTCTTCTGAATGTCATTGCATTTATGTCTACAAAGATTTTCACCTCACTTTTTACTCAGTCCTGATTGAAACTTTAGAGCTATGGCCTTCTAATTTAGGATGTTTTTTCCCCCGGAAGCTCTATCATGCATGGTATGCATAGTTAACTTGCTCATTCATACAGACCTTGAAAAAACTTCTTTTATCTTCACGAAATGTATCCATTGAAAAGCAAGCCCGCAGCTTTCACTATGCATTCCCTGTGCTAGATCCCATATAAGAGTGCTCTCAGCTGCTTTAGCAGTTATCTAATCTATAAGGCCTATTTTTGTTCTCTGTCCTCAAGCCACTTGCTAAGAAGATACTTCTTCCATTTCACAGAAGGAAGGGATGTCAATATCCTTTACTTGTGATGATCGCAAAAAACAATTTGGAACTAGAAAATAGTGAAAGGACCACTAAATGCTTTGAAATTGAGGAGAATATTCCAGTACATTCATCATTAAGTCAGAACTGACTTACTTGCACAACACTGTACCCTGAAGGACTTTGTCAGACTTGATTTGGAACTCCTGTCCCACCTTCTCAACGTGTAACCTTGGTTTTTGATCTTAGACATGTTATATCATGTTTGAGCCTAGTGTGTGTGTCTGATTGAGTTGGGGTTTCACCTTTTCACTCCCTCCCCCAGTGTTCTTGTAGGACTACATGTAGAGGCATTTGATGACTTCTGACAATCATAATTGTTGTCACTGAGATACTATTTTGTATTTACCAGTGAGGATACAGGAAGACCTTATTGACAGCTAAATGTCTTTGATGTGTCCTGTTGTCTTAAAATATGATATATTTGTCTTATTTTACTCTCTCTCTCTCTCTCTCTCTCTCTCTCTCTCTCTCTCTCTCTCTCTCTGTCAAGTGGCAGAATGGAAAGTTCCCTTTTTGAATTGCGTTCCCATTTTGGCCCTGCTTTTTGAAAGTACTTATGATGGAAATTAAATAGCCCTGTAGGTTTGGCATGTTGGTGGAAATTTGCCTCTCTGCATTTGTGACTGTCTCTGAGGGCCATCATGTTCTTTTGGTGTCTCCTGTTGAACCAGTTAATGTTTCAGAAGATTACACCTTGGGAGTGTATGGGTTCCTGTGGAAACCCTTCTTGGAGGTACAGAAAGATAACTGGACTTACTCTATGGGTGACAAAAACCATTTGGTTTTTGTAATTCAAATGAAGTTTTGGATCCTGCATAACTGATTCTTTTTCTTTAAATGATTCATGGGCAAGACCAAGACAACATGTTCTGTATCTAATCATGTGGCTTTGTTTCTGAGAACACTTCCCTTTCTGTTTATGTAGACTCTAGCCCTGCATAAAATCTTTAAAGAGGAATAGCCTTGCCTCACCTACTGACATTTTTAGTTCATACACAGTCCTTCTTTTTTTAAAAAATTTATTTTTTAGTGTTAGGTGGACACAATATCTTTATTTTATTTTTATGTGGGGCCCAGGATCAAACCCAGTGCCTCATACGTGCTAGGCGAACCCTCTACCACTTGAGCCACAACCCTAGCCCTTGTACTGCTGTTTTGAGACTGTTGTTACCTGTAGACTGGGGGACTGAAAGGTGAGTGACTCACCTGAGACGGAAATTCAACCAAGAGATTTTATTGGAGGGCTGCCTGAAAGGGAAGAAAAGAGAGGAAGAGAGCAGCAGTGTGAGCCTGTAAGCTTCAGTTTAAGAAGGGTTGCTTTGGCGATGTGGTGGGTGCTGATTGGCAGGTTGACGGGCAATCAAACACACACTGTGTCCCTTGGGATTAGTTGAGAGAAAACTTTTTTGACGCCCTTCAGAAAGGAGGGGGAGGGGTCAGGGATTATGTGATGTACTTCAGTGGGGATAAACCTGATGGGGGAAATAAGACCAAAAGGCAAGGTCTCCCACATACCCATCAGGGAGTAAAACAGTTTTCAAAGGAATTGGAAGGTCAAGCAGGTTGCTACATTAGTATCTTGGTCTAGCTTCGGACACATACAAGATAGGTTATTATCTCTACTTGATAGTTGTTTTTGCATCTGTAAGAAAGAATGCCAAACCCCTTCTGGCCCTTTCCTTTATCCCCTCCATCCTTGCCTTATCAAGTCTTGGGCACAGCAGAACATTCATTCTGGACATCAGGAAGACCCCTTTCCTTCTATTTCTCCCATAAAAGCAGTCTCTGGAGAACTTGCACGTTGACCTCAAACAAGCAACCGACCTGCCAAAACACCTTCCTTAGACATGGGAACATTTTTCTGAAATAATATCACCTTGGAGCTATCCTACTTCTCTCTCCCTAAAGCATTTTAGTTTGATCTAGGTACAGAGATTCTTAGATTGCTAGATAGATCCCTGAATAATAATGATCCCTAATAACCTCAACAGCAGGCAAGACTACTGTGTGGTGTTTGAAGTCAGGGCAATATTGACCTTTTGGAAGAGTAGTGGCTATTGTATGTTCATATTTTAGTCAGCTTTTTTTTTTTTTTTTTGGCTGCTGTGACTAAAAGGATCCAACCAGAACAATTGTAGAGGAGGAAAAGTTTATTTAAGGACTCATGATTTCAGAGGTCTCAGTCCACAGACAGCAGGCTCTTACTTGGGGTGAGGCAGAACATCATGGTGGAAGTGTGGCAGAGGGAAGCAGCCCATGTGATGATTAGGAAGCAGAGGGAAAGGTCGATACTTGCCAGATAGAAATATACGCCCCCAAAGAACCACTTCCTCCAACCACACCCTTCGACTTCAGTTACCACCCAGTTAATCCCTATCAAGAGATTCATTCACTCATTAGGTTAAGACTCTCACAACCCAATGATTTCTCCTCTGAACCTTCTTGCATTGTCTCACATGTGAGCTTTTGGGGGAGACCTCACATCCAAACCACAACAGTTCACTTTAGCAGAATTTTGCATTTTCTTTATGAATGTAGTCTAATAAAAATGTTTATTAAAAAGGTATCTTCCCCCTTTTATATAGTACTGTAATTCACATGTGAAAGTCTTTCATGAAATGAAATGAAGAAGCAGTTTTAATCCTTTAGTGTGATTGAAGGATTGAAGTCTGTGTATTAATTTTTTGACCCTACACCTATGGACACGGTCTGAGTCGTTCCACTTAGCTTGCTATTGATTGCATTTTTGTAGAAATGAAAATTTAAACATTTTGTTACCCCTTTCTATTTCAGAGTTGTAGTTCTTTTTTGGGTATTTGGAATTGAACCCAGATGCGCTTTACCACTCAGCTACATCCCTAGCCCTTTTTATTTTTTGAGACAGGGTTTGCTACATTGCTTAGGGCTCACTAAGTTGCTGAGCCTGGCCTTGAACTTGTAATCCTCTTCCTTCAGCCTTCAGAGCTGCTGGGATTACAAGCATGTGCCACTGCTCTTGGCCAGAGTTGTAATTCTTTTTTTTTTTTAATTTAAGTATTTATTTTTTAATTTTAGGTGGATACAGTATCTTTATTTTATTTTTTTATGTGGTGCTGAGGATCGAACTCAGTGCCTCATGCATGCTAGGCGAGCACTCTACTACTCAGCCACAACTCCAGCCCCCAGAGTTGTAATTCTTATAGTTTGAATAATATGCTTCCTAGTTTATTGTTCTCCTTATAGTATATTAGTGCTTATTTGCCTAAATAGAGAAGGGTTAATTTATGAAGGCACATGATTTAAAAATTCACACTGTCCTATTGGATGCACTTGGTGTATGATATTTTATTGGTGTTGGATTTACATTCCTCTTCTGCTTGGTTTTGCCTAATTGCAGGTTACTTTGAATTTCATGACAACCAAAAGTAAGCTGGGAAGTGGGAAAGGACATTTTCCCCCTACGGATGGATAATAAGAAGTGAATAATAATTATCTTGACTGGGTTTTTTTTTCTTATGAGCAGTTCATTATATGAAGAATGAACTTTAATATATTTAATTTCCTCCTAGATCATAAGGAAGACTGATGGAGAAAAGTAACAACGTGATTCAGGTAAATGGAGTTTTAGACTTCTTTATGTATCTTTTATGCATAGTTTAATATTCTCTGTATATTTACATTGAGAAGATCTAAACCAACAGTTGTTTGTGACCAATCTGAAAATATGAGAAATAGGTGGGGGATAAAACTGAAATGGTCAAGCATATATTTCTGCCATTTAATTAATTATATATGTATATTAAACAATCATGTGTTTTTTTTTTTACAAAACAAAATATTGTAACTAATGCTTTCCTACCCTAGAATAATTTTCTTTCAATTTTTTGATATACATATTTGACATTGGAATCTTCATTATTAGAGTTAGAGTTTAGTATTTTCTGATAGTCACTTACCTATTTCTAAACAACATAGCATGTTTTAATTGCCATTTATTGATTTCTGTTAAATTTTAGACTAATGTATTGATTGATCCTTTAATTTTGTTTTGTCTTTGTTATTTTTCCATCTCTCTGTGTTATTCTACTTTCTGAGAGGTTTTCTTGGTATCTATTGAGTTTTTAATTTCAGCTAGCATGCTTGTAATTTTGAATTTAATTTTTGAGGGCCTCTGAATATTTCCTTTTTAAAAGTAGAATAGAGTTTTTGTTTTGTAGTTTACACGTTTTCTCCTTTCCTTTGAGAATATGAATTGTATTATTTTGCTGGTTTTCTCTGCTCTTTACACATTTTTTCTGTATGTCCCCCTTTTTTATCTGGTTGTTTGATCCCTGCCTTTAATGTCAAAGATTTTTTTCTGAAATAAATGGTGAGAATTGAGTTTTCTGTTCATATTTAAGGAGACAATAGAAAATAGACTGGAAACTTCGTTACCTGGAGGGCTTCCCTGTAGTTCTTGGGCAGGGACTTGTTTATATCAGTGGGTGACTCCTATTCATCAGAATCTGGACATTTTTTTTCCCCTTGGATATTTTACTTTCTCCAAAAAACATTCCTCTATTTACCTTTTTGTAAGGGTTAAGCCTGCCTGAGAGGATTTGGGGGAACCAAGCAGGGAAAGCCAGGGTCTCACCATCCACACCTGTAATGGTTAGATCTAAATGCCTGTTCAGCTTTTTCTGGAGTCCCTGAATCTGAAGTCTTTCTGTGCCCTTTTCTCCAAAGTAAACTTCCATCTGTTACAGGATTAGGATGGTTTATGTGGCTCTAACTGATGGGAGAGAGGATATTGGGTTCTAACTGCTTTTCCTTCTTCTTTTTGCTTAAAGCAGCACAACTTTGTTATAACAGTTTGGTAATTCAGGAAGCTCGGCTCATGCAGGTGTCTCTAGGCTGGAATGAAAGTGTGCATGGGCTGCATTCCTTTCTTTTTCTTTTCCTTTTCTCCCTTCCTCCCTTCCTCCCCTCCCTCCCTTCCCTCCCTTCCCTCCCTTCCTCCCCTCTCTCCTTTCCTCCCCTCCCTGCCTTCCCTCCCTTCCCTCCCTTCCTCCCCTCTCTCCCCTCCCTCCCTTCCTCCCCTCCCCTC